TTCTTATCCTGTGAAGAAGGCTTGCTTTTTCTTGTGTTTGCTTCAAGATTTGTTTTACATTTGATTCTACTCGCCCCTTTCCTATACACCAAATGTCTCCAGCTAAACCACTTGAATCTCTTAACTACATGTGAAGCTTTTTTATTCTACAGTATCTACTCTCCCGAAATATATGAATATCTTTCATTTTAAATGGATGTTTATCTGTTTTTTTTAATCCCATTTTTAAAATGTCTAGGGATCTTAGGAAATGGCAGATAAATTCTTGGGTATAATTGTAATTCTTTTGCATGCCAATTTGGAATTAATTGTAAGGGGCTAGCAAACAGTGGGATGAGAACTTGATCCCAGATTTCCCAGTTTCAGAGCCAGTGCACACATATCATGTTGCTTTTACCAGTGTCCAAATTTCTGCATAGTGTTGCCTTATTTTTAGCTTCAGAAGAATCATTGTCTTCCATTACAGTTTAATTTCAAAGATATAATGTCGGTGGCATGTAGGAGTTATTACTGCATTGTTGGTAACAAAGCAGAGGGGGCAGCAAGAAAGTGATTGTACAGAGAACCTTTCTACTTGCCTGGTTAACTAACTACTGCTTCTCCGCTTTATCCATAAGTTCTGAGAGAGTTTTCATCCACAGGGTGAGAACATGAGCCATCACTTAACAACAATTACAGCAGGTTAGTTTGGCTGGTAAAACGTAGCTTTTGAATTCAGTGGAGTAGTTTAACCTTGTGAGGCTTGTCTACATAAGTTAAGAATAAAAAGGGACCCCTTCCTAAATTTAAAATATATTTAGCATCAAATTTTGAATCCATAAAACAAAATAGCCTTCTGAGAATTTAACATCTGTGGAAGTGTTCTCTTTGTTGACAGAGAACTGTGAAAATAAATTTTAAGAAGTTTGAAGAACCTTGGCATCAACAATGCCTAGCTGAATTGTATCTTGGGATTACTGATGTCTCATTTAGTTTATGAAAACTGTCATATCAGACATAAGAAATATACAAGACGCTTTTGGCTTACAGTGTGCGCTCTATTCCATATTACCTTTTCCATCTTCTTCATTAACATTTAAAATCTGTAGGTGAAAAGAAAAAGTTTACCTGCAATAGTTTTTAAATACTGTATTTCCTTCCTATAATTTGTGAATAGACAATCATTTTATAATGACAGTTTTTAAAATTTTCAAAGTATCTTAATTTCCTTTTTATAAAATCGGGAGTGAACCACATAATGTCCATTTTTGTGAAAAGTGGGTTTGTGTAGTTATTCCAGATTTTTTTTTGTGTGTAAGTATTTCTGATATTTGCAAAACTGACTTTGTGTTTTCCATTTTGTCAACTATAGTCATAAATTATGAGAAGAAGAATGGATTTAGTATGTGATACCTTTGTAGTTGCAAGGTCAAAGAAAAATTTCTTTGAAAATTTATTAGTTTTTCTTAATTTCATAAATATGCACTGATTTAGTGAAGTATGATATCAATAGGTAATTAAAGTATTGGGACACCCTCTAAGCCTCAGTGTCCCTTTCCAGTACTACACAAAAATGCTTAATTTTCTATGTCTAAATCTGAGTAATATATAGCAGATAGTGGGAATTTTTCAAAGCAGTTAGTTTTATTTTATATTTCTCCTGATATTTTGAGCCAGGAGGTAATACCGAATGTGCACTGACCCTCATGCCAGGGAATAAAAGAGAGATCTGAACTTTGAGCTGGCATTGGGGAACAGGTATTCATCATCAATGTTAATTTTTGAGATTCTGCATTGACTATCAAAGCAAAAGCTTGCAACTTCTCATAGGAAATGAAAAGTAACTCTTATCATGGAGGTGCAGGCGGTGGGGGAATATGGCAGAAGCACCTGCATTCTGTGTAAAAACTGTTCCATGATTTTCCATCTGATTATCGACTGTAGGTTGCTGACCCTTGTTTTGACCATGATTCATTCTTTCCTTTTTTTTTTTAAATCTACAGTAAAAGCTGTACTTCTTCCTGTGTGCCAGGAAGTGATAATGCCTTTTAAAATTGACAGCAGTTTTAAAAACCTCAAGGACCATTTTTCAAACATATTGCATGTGCCATCTGATGTACTACAGTTAAGATGTGCAGGTAAGCTTGGAAGCTAATACAATGTATCAAGACTTCTTTAGTGTTAATGATTTAATTATTTACATGTAAATAATCAGGATATTTGATTTGTTAAACTAAGTATCTTGACATTTACTAATTGAATTTTATGTTGTGGTTATGTATTCATTCATTCAACATGTTTTTATTGAGGACATACTTTGTTCTTAATACTTTGCTCAGAACTGGAGATGTAAAGAAACATGAAACAAAATCCCTGTTCTCAAGTTGTTTATGGACTAGCAAGGAAGAAGATTCATGCAGGAGTTCCCACATAATGTGTATGCACAAAGCCTTGGTCATGTTGAATGATCTTTTTAATACATTGCTGGGTGCAATTTGCTAATATATTGTTTTTTCTGTTTTATTCAGTTTGCTCCAGGGACAAAATCAATAGTAACAGGGTTCACAAACATCATTTTGATTGGCTCACAGCCTGATCAGTAAAACCTGAAAAACAGAAAATGTTGCACAAGTTGCAAAGAAAGTACTCCTGGAGTTCACTGACATGATAGCAAGTGGAAATAATATAAATGCCACCGGTGTTAACATTTAGGACAGCATTTGTAACCTGCCCCTTTCTAGGCAATTCTGGGACCCCGCTGCTAACCGTTCATGTATTACTGTTGACTTCCTCTGACAAAACTTCTAGGCCTTACTCCTGCTGCACTCAAGTGGTTCCTATTCCTACAACGCTGGCGTATGCTGTCAGGATGTCCACTATCTGTTTAGTTTCTGGAGTCATCCGGGCTTCCTTCAGCCAGTCCTGCGCCACTCGTCTGGACTCCCCTTTCAGTTGATTGACAGACTTCACCGCCAGCTCCAGGTCACCATGCTCAATGCAATAGGAGGCATATGACAGTAACTTAAATGTGTTTATATCCTCAGGGGAGAGCTCCTCGGGTGGCTTCAGTTGCTGAGGCGGGAATAGGAGCAGGGACTGCAAGTAGGAGAGGAAGTATTGGTATAAGCTATTTCTGGTTTCATCAGTCATTGCTACCCTCCGGGCCAGCTTTTGGACAGCATAGAAACGGGCTCTAAGGGTCTCTTCATTGTATACCCCCCGGGTCAGGGACTCTTGAGGGATTGCTGCGGTTAAAGTTTGGGCAAATTCAATATCAGAATTGGCTTTGATGGCCTCGACGGCACTACCCAACAATTTGCTAATATTTTGTTGAAGGTTTTAGTATCTCTATTCATCAAGGATGTTGGCCTGTAATTCTTTTTCTTTGTCATGTCTTTATGTGGTTTTGGAATTCGGATAATGCTGGCCTCATAAAAAAAGAGCTTGGAAGTGTTCCTTCCTTTTGGAATTTTTGGAATAGTTTAAGGAGTATAGGTATTTGTTCTTTTCTGAATGTTTGGTAAAACTCCCCTGTAAAGCCATCTGGATCGGGCTTTTGTTTGCTGGGAGTTGTTTGATTACTGCTTTTGTTTAATCCGTTGTTATTTGCCTATTCAGGTTTTCTAATTCTTCCTGATTCAGTTTTGGGAGATTGTAGTTTTCTAGGAATTTGTCCATTTCATCCACATTGTTCAGCTTGTTGTCATATAGTTGTTCATGGTATTTTCTTACAATCCTTTGTATTTCTGTGGTTCAGTGGTTACTTCTCTGCTTTCATTTCTGATTTTATTTATTTGGGTCCTCTCTTTTTGTTTCTTCATGAGTCTGGTTAAAGGTTCATCAATCTTGTTTATCCTCTCAAAGAACCAGCTCTTGGTTTCATTGATTTTTTTTTTAGTCTTTATGTCATTTATTTCTGCTCCTTTATTATTTCTTTCCTTCTACTTAACTCTAGGATTTTTCTTGTTGTTCTCTTTATAATTCTTTAAGTTTTAGGGTTAAATAGTTTATTTATTTTTTCTTATTTTTTGAGTTAGACCTGTAGTGCTATGAACTTCCCTCTCAAGACTGCTTTTGCTGTGTCCCATAGCAAATCCTAATATTTTAGCTTAAAAAGTTCTGGTCTTTACTTACAAAGGTGCCATAATAACTTTTTTTGTGTGGAAAATCCTAAGCACTATAAAGTAAAAAAAAGTGTTTTCCAAAACTATTATAATCAGTATACTTGAATAGTGTAATTCTTGTGTAATCAAGCAAACGGTTATTAAAGCTTGGTTGGGGAAACAAAGCTAAAATTTATATAGTAATAATAATAGTGATAACGATCATGATCATGTTGATGATGATGGTTAATTTATTGAGCATTTACTATGTGATAGCCCTACAAAATATCGTGGCTACATTATCACAATATCATTCCATCCACACAGAATCCTTTGTTATGAATTTTTTCTTTAAAAGAATAAAACTAAAGCTCTGGTTTCTCTTCAGATCACATAATTTCACATAGCTAATAAGTGGCAGTGTCTGAACTTAAATATAAGTATAACTCCAAAAAGGGAACTTGAAACTGTGTGGCATTAATTATAAGGTGAAATTCAAAACTGGAGAGAGCACTGGAGAAGTTGGCCAGTGGTACCTAAGAATCTCTTTGTACTTCACGGCCTTTTCTTTATGTGTAAGTACTCAGCATCACCACTGGGCTTATGTCAGTAGCAATAATAATGAAAAAGCTGAATTCTGTGTCAACTAACCACCTTCTAGATAGGCGCTTTCTTCTGGTACCAGAACTAAAATTCAAGTTTGGTATGGGACTAAGCCTACTACAGAAACAAGGAGAGGAACGAAGAGGCTCTGGGAATCTGCATTAGGTTCCGATGACTGTTATAACAACCACCGATTTAGTAGCTTAAAGCAACACATGATTTCTCTTACAGTTCTGGAGGTCAGAAATCCTCACCCACTTTCACTCAGACAAAGTCAAAGTGTCAGCAGGGCTCTTCTCCCTCTAAAGGTTCTGGAAAGAATCTGCTTCCTTGCCTTTTCCAACTTCTAGAGTTGTATTCCTTGCATTCGTTGGCTCATGGCCCATTCCTCCATTATCAAAGCCAGCAGCACAGCCTCCTCAAATCCTTCTGCTCTGTCATGTCATCTTCACCCCTATAATCAAATCTCCCTCTTGCTTTCTCTTATAAGAGCACTTATGGTTATAGTTAGGGCCCACCTGGATAATCCAGGCTAATCTCTCCATCTCAAAATCCTTGAAAGTCACTTTTTCCATATATGGTAGCATTCATAGGTTCTGGGGATTAGGACCATTATTTCAACCTATCACCAAATCTGTAACATTCATGTTAATTTTTAAATTATGAATTGAGGGTGAAATATAGAAACTCAATGATTTTTGTGCTTTCTGAAAATATCAGGGGGAATACTTTGTAAAGTATGTAGTTGTTTAACCACTATACTGTACACATGCAACTAATACACAATAATACTGAATGTAAACTATAATTGAAAAAAATTAAAAAATAAAAATATTGATAATTATCAAACATTTTTAAAAGGCTAGTGGTGGTATGTGATATATTTCTAAGAATGAATGTATTAAAACCTTTGCTATGCTTAACTTATTAATTGTAATTAGGAAGATCATATGTTGGAAAATTGGTATGGGTATTATCAATAAAGTTTCCATGATACAAAACTGCAACCAGTAACATTATACATATTTTTGTATGCCTTAAAATAGAGAAATAAAATTAGAGTCAATTTATAGAATAAACCAATGGGGAGAAGGAAGAGGTTGAAGCAACACAACATAAAAATAAAGTGCTCTATACTTTTTCAAACACAAAACTGCGGTTTAGCACCACCTTGGCATTAATTAATTTGTGTGAGTTTCTGATTATAGAAACAGAGACAGGAAGGGATTCTTTAGAATTCTGATTGTATACTTTTCTGCTGGAGGGAGAGGTGAGTATTAAAATAATCAGGTTTTCCCAGATATGCTATGTCCTGTGCTTACATGTAATACACTCATTTTTTACAGAATCGTTTAGAGTATGATTTTGCTCATATTATAGAGTAGGTTTTTTCAATTTTCAGATGTTTACAGAGTTGCATGGTTATTATGTATTTGCATTTCTGATGAGTTAAGAGTTGTAGCTTTACTTATAATGCTGAATTCTTGCTGGGGATACCACCCTGACTTTTCCCACTGCAGAGTGCTCTGTATTAACTTTATAGCATGAGATGGACACCATTAATACTTGGCACTCGATACCAATCAATATTTTGGTAATTAAACAACATGTGTTTATAGATGTTTTATAGCCCCTTCAAATGAGTATATATTTCATTTCTTTGTCATAACACTTCTTATAATTTTTTCTCATTTTTAGGAAATATTCTTAAAAATTATGAGACTCTACTAAAATATGGAGTTAAGCCGCAGGATATTGTACAAGTGGATATCTATTCCACACTTCCAGATCTGTATCCAATCAAAAGATTACACAGATTAAGTGCCTCTCAAATCATAATTGTCAAAGTACAAACTGGTTAGTTATTTTATGTCTTTTGGATAAAAGCATTTTAGAGTGGTTTTGTAGTTGAACCTCCATTCAGTCTTGGTTTTATCTCCTCAGCCATTGATCAGTACCAGCATGTAGCTGTTGAGATGATAAAAACTGACTTTCACAAACCATTTCTTGGTGGATTCAGACATAAACTAACGGGAATAGAATATCACAATGCTGGAACACAAACTGTACCTAAAAAGATTCCTGAAAAAGACAATATATTTTGTAGGGATACCCAGGTAGTATTTTTATTTTTCCTTATAGGTTTTTGAAGCTGCAGAATAAACACATGTTATGCTGTATACCTCTCTAAAAGTCTTCTAAGGAATTATATGGCAATTAAAATAATGAATAAATAACTTGAATGTGTAGGAGAATATGCTCTTACTCATTTATATGTGTAGAGAGTAGATATTTATTTAAATCTTCTTTTAATTTTAGACAGTTTTTCTGAGAAAAAAGCTCCAACAAACTACAAATACAACATCCACACAGATGACTAAAATTGGTGTGTATGTATCAAATATGACTGATAAACTGATAACACCAGGAAAATATTTTACAGCAGAAGAATACCATGCTCAAAGATTAAATGCGGTAAGATAACTTTTATTATGGGTGAATACTAAAAATTCAGTATGTGAGTCAATTGTTCTGTGTATAGCTATGTCTTTGCCTAAGCCACACTAGCTTGCATGGGAAGAACCTATGTGAGTTTGGTTAAAGACTAAATTACAATATTTTTTAAAGATGGTAGAGCAGACTTGATTCAAAAGGGGCTACTAAAATGGAGGGAAGAGGTTAGGCTTAATTTTGAATACAGCAGGAAAAGTGGGAGTTTATAGCCAAGGAACAAGGTAGGGGTCAGAGTATGGAAAATTACTATGAGAAAACATCAGGGGTAAAGGGGATTCTGGCTAAACCAACCTAACAGGATTTTTGCCAAAGGCAGGCCAGAGTGAGTAGGCATCATCTGAGGGGTGGCGGAAGATGAGGAACCCAATCAAATATGGAGAGTGATCAGATATTGAGGGTGGGGATTCTGGTTAAACTGAGTTAGCAGGATTCTTAATAAAATTGAAAAAATGCAAAGCTGAACACAGAAGCCCTTATGTCCAGGCATAGTTGAAAAAGAGCTTAGAGGAGCCTGATTAGAATTTGGTCAAGGAGAGAGTCTTTGTCAGTGTGAGCCATGTTTTATTGGTAGTAAAAGCAGTTTTGGGGATTAATCTGCCCCCAGTAAAAGGAACCAGAATCCTAAATACTCCTAATCCTTCTCTTTGCCTGAAGGAATTCCCAGATCTTTGTGAGTTGCCTTTGGCCATTTATGAGCTCCTACCCTCTATCCCTTGGCCTTAATCCCTGTGACAGTTGGATCACCTAGGAAGGGTTCCAGAATAATTGGAAACAAAAGGGTATTAAAATCTGTTTTCTCTGATATTAGTATAGCCACTCCAACTCTTTTATGTTATGTTTGCATACTCTACTTTCTTCATCCTTTCACTTCTAACCTAATTGAGACTTTGTATCTGGAGTATATATCTTGTAAATAGCATATAATTGGATCTTATCTTTTTATCCAATCTAGTAATCTCTGCCTTTTGACTAGAGTGTTTAATACACATATATTTAATGTTATTATTGATAAGGTTGAATTATATCATGATTTTGGTATTGTTGTCTATAGTCCTGTGTTTCTCTGGTTCCTCTGTTCCTCCTTTACCATTTTCTTTTATGTTAGATATTTTTCTAGTGTGCCATTTTTATTATTTTCTAGTTTTTTATTTATATAATTAATATCTATATATATAAAAGCCTAAGTGACCGGTGTGACTGAACAACCGGAATGACAGGAACAACTGGTGGACCTGTCACTATGACATGCACTGACCACCAGGGGGCAGATGCTCAACACAGTAGCTGCCCCCTAGTGGTCAGTGCACTCCCACAGCCAACCTCCCCCAATCTCTCGCCCTGGCTGGCAAACCTCCTGCAGTCCGCAGTCCTTCCTCCCATCCGGCAGGCCCCGTCCGGCAGGCCCCATCCGGCAGGCCCCATCCGGCAGGCCCCATCCGGCAGGCCCCATCCGGCAGGCTCTGTCGGGCAGCCGGCAGCCTCTGGCGAGGCCTGGCCCCAATCAGGCCTGGGTGAGATGGCCCACATAGGCCCTGATTGCCGGCCAGGCCTAGGGACCCCACCCGTGCACAATTTTTTGCCCTGGGCTTCTCGTCTTTAAGTATAAAATTTTTAGTATCTCTTTTCAAAAAAGTATACAGTTAAAAGATTTTTCTATATAAACGGAGTTATTCAACCATTATGACAATCAATTTTAGAGCATTCCCATCATCCCAGAAAGAAGTTCTCCACCCAATAGCCATCCTATTTCCCTCCAATCCTTTCTGCCTCAGGCAGGCACTAATCTACTTTCTGTCTCTGTTGATTTGCCTATTCTGGACATTTCATATACATGCAATCATACAGTATGTAGTCTTTGTGACTGAGTATTTTAACTTAGAATAATGTTTTTAAGGCTCATTCATATTGTAACATGTATTAATCCTTCATTTCTTTATATTGCAGGATAATATATATACCCAAATGTATATATCTATTACATATATGCAAATGTACATACCATGTTTCATTTGTCCACTTATCAGTTGATGGATATTTGGGCTGTTTCTACTTATTGGCTATTAGAAATAAAACTGATATAAAATTCATGTACAATTTTTTTTTATATGGACATAAGTTTTTATTTCTCTTGTGTATATTCCCAGGAGTGTAATTGCTGGATCATATGGTAAGTCTACTTATAAACTTTTGAGGAACTGCCAAACTGTTTTCCAAAGCACTGTACCATTTTCTGTCCCCCCAGCAGTATATGAGGATTCCAATTTCTCTACATTCTTATCAACATTTGTTATTGTTTTTTATTATAGCTATCCTAATGAATGTGAGGTGGTATTTTATTGTGCTTTTGATTTGTGTGCCCTGCTGGCTAATTATATTGGATATATTTTCTTTTAAAAAATATGTAGTTTTTGGAATACAGTATGGAGTTTCCTCAAAAAACTAAAAATGGAACTCCCATTTGACCCTGTGATCCCACTTCTAGGACTATATCCCAAGAAACCAGAAACACCAATCAGAAAGGATATATGCACCCCTATGTTTATAGCAGCACAATTCACCATACCTAAGATCTGGAAACAGCCTAAGTGCCCATCAGCAGATGATTGGATTATAAAACTGTGGTACATCTACACAGTGGAATACTATGCTGCTGTAAAAAAGAAGGAATTCTTGCCATTTGCAATAGCATGGATGGAACTGGCGAGCATTATGCTAAGTGAAATAAGCCAGTCAGTAAAAGATAAATACTTTTATTGTTATCCGAGAGGAAGGGAGAGGGAGAGAGAGGTAGAAACAGTGATGAGAATCATTGGCTGCCTCCTGCATGCCTCTACTGGGGATTGAGCTTGCAACCCAGGCATATGCCCTGATGGGAATCAAACTGGCAACCTCTTGGTTCCTGGGTCGACACTCAACTGCTGAGCTGGGATATATATATATATATAATATATATATATTAACTGGCCTGAATAAATTCTTATATGCTTATTAACAACTTGTGTATAGTCTTAGGAGAAATGTATACACAGATCCTTTACCCATTTTTAAATTTCTAAAATTATTGTTTTACTATGTTTTGAATTATTTATGAGTTATTTTCTAAATAGTTGTTCTGAGTGTAATCTAGGGATTACAATATGCATCTATATTTATAATAATACTAGAGGCCTGGTGCATGACATTTGTGCACTGGGAGGTGTGGGGGTCCCTCAGCCCGACCTGCACCCTCTCCAATCTGGGAGCCCTCAGTAGAGCTCTC